CGCTTCTCCAGCCAGCGGACCATTCTGCACTGCTTAAGAATTGTAGAGCAGACATGGCTTCAAATGTCAAGGATTTGCAGGAACCTAGAGGCACAAAGTTCAAACTGTTTACTTTACGGAGTTAGCAAACTTGCATCAGCCACGATGGCAGTTCGACACCTGTTAGATGCAGCATCGGAAACAGTCGGCGGCTGAACCAAAAGCTAAATGCAAAGGGCCTGTTTCACCCCGTGGTTATTTTCAGAAGTAGACGTGCGTGCGTTTGTCTGAGGTCTGCTGAAACATTCCTCCTTTCCTTCACAACAGAGTGAGCAAAGACCTGCCTGGCGTGTGGAGCACGGTTTTTCTTGGAAAAATGGGCAGAGTAGCTAGCTGCAAGCGTGCCCACACAAATGACGAACACAGGCATCTGCCATCGTTTGTTTAGCTTCTCTTAGCTGTTGTTGTTTTAGGTTTTCGGTAACGCAGTACTCGGTTGATCATCCAGGGTTGTGTTTCCGGGAGAAGTTTTCTTTTTACGCTTCGTGCTACAGTTCTGACTGAAATGGGAAAAGCCTTTCGTGCCGTTTTAAGCTGCAACATGAGCCTGTTTGCCAATGCTCTGCGTAATAGGGGCCATTTGTGTATTGAGTAACCTTTTTTTTCTCTCTAAAGCCAGACCAGGAGGGGAAACCCCCCCCCCCCCCCCCCCCTCACTGAACATCCAATTCACCGCAATTTTTTGGCAGATTAGCTTTTCATGTCTGTGCTGACATGAGGGAGAGTGGTTTTTGTTTGCAGAGGAAGTGGTTAAATAACAAAAAGGAGGAGGAAAAAAAGGAGAAGATATACGTCAATCTAAGGTCAAAGAGTTCTATGAAGAACACACACCCACTGACTAATTTTTCAATATTTAATCAGGCAGGAATAATGTTCAATAGGCCTGTAGTTTCCATAGTTGGAGGATAACCACATCAGGGAATGTTAACATTGTACCCTAACAACACTTTTAGATTTCCTATTTTGTCTCAGCTGTCCCCACAATTGAATAGTTTAAACATTTCATCAGCATTATTATTGTTAATATATATTTATTTATAAAAGTAAATTCTCACATTTTTGCTGACTGATGTCTAGGTTGTTTGACTTTGAGGTGGTGTTTAATGGACTTTTATTTACTTGATGTCATCCCATTATTTCACCAGCTTGCAGCTGAGTTTTGCTCTCCTTTTTTTTTCTGATTGTGATGAAACCCATATGAGGGCACAATTAAAGTAAAAATGATCTCAGATACTTTATAGAACTGGAATTGTCAATAAAAACCAAGAAAGAAAAAAACAACAACTAGGTGAACAAAAAGCATCCTAATGAACTGCATCAACCCTCTGACAGACTGTTTTCAATGCAGAGGAGCAGCTTCGAGTCTCTGTGACAAAGAAAACTCGCTTACATTTTCGAAGAATCTTTCTATATTTTTCTTTAACAAACTGTTCTTAAAATTGAGTAAATACACCCTCAGATGAAAATTCAGATAAAGAGAAGAAACTGTTCTCTCTCATGTCTTATAGCCACAAAAGACATTCAGCAAAAGCAACCAAACCAAGCTGAGCATCTCCTCATAACAATAGGGCCGATATTGGAGCAGCAAAATGGGCCCACATTCAAAGACCCTAGCGTCCTTCAACAAGCCCACTAATTACTAGCGGCCCAGGGGTTTTAATTCTGAGACACGGCAGCTTGCCAAGGGGCATCAGAAAGTACTCAAATTTCACATCCCAAGGTCCTGCTGTTGACGCTGTGGATGGTGTATCTGCATAACAACACCTATCAGTCTGCGGCAGCCTCAGTGTGAGAATATGAGCTTGGGGCTTTTTGGGGGATATTTTTGCATGAATGTGCACAGGCTGGGTTAATAAACGGTATTGATTTGTCCTTATTTTGGTTTGTTTGTTTGAGCCCTCTGCGTTTTTTTTATTGGATCAGATCAGAGAGACACAAAGGAATTGTACGATATAAAATTCAAACAGCACTCGCTTCCCAGATGTTTTCTGCCCTGGTGTCGAGCTCCTCAGCTCATATATGACCTCATCCTGCAATTTTCCCTTTTTTTTCTTAGCGCTTTTTTTTCTTCCCCTCCATGCCGGCAGTGTGTTGAAAGTCAGAGATCCCTGTGTTTCATTTTGCACTTCGGAATGATGACACGTGCTTGTCAAGTACAGTGGAAAACGTTAAGGACAGCAGTCCTCATCAGTTTGATGCTGTTTGCTCAGGTTTGTGTCGTTACAAGAGAACCGAGGAAGACCTTCAGAAACTACATGGCGCCAAAACTAAACGCATATAGATAATCAAGTATTCAAGTATCCCATCACATCTTCATCTCATGCGTGTTGGTGCAGGCTCACCTGGCTGGAAGATCAAATACCGGTCGACTAATAAATGTGTAACTGAAGGCAAAATAGTTTATCCGGACATCGGTTTGATTTACAAGCTCCAAGAAAAGGAAAAGCAACTGCATGCAGAGTCTTTATATGAATCAGAATGTCAGTCTTTACGAAGGACAGACTGGAGGGTTCACTTTGACATTTCTACTCAGTTAAACAGAAATGGTAAATTTTCCCTCCTATGAAAGGTGTCGACAGGCTGGAACCCACATGCCCCATGAACATAAAACCAATTTTTTCCTGCTATTTCCCAACTTCACATTCGAGGTAGGTAATGCCATTTTTTTAAATCTCATTTCCAAATGTGGAAATGTTTCACATTTGATGTAATCATAATAGCTATATTTTTTCCTGTCTGAGTGAATGACTCCCCTTGTTCTTCCCTGAAAATGTTTAATCTTGATGTGGATCACGTCCAGATATTTTTCCCCCAGTCATTTTCTAGCCGATTGACAAAGCGGCCCCAAAGTCGGACTGCAGTTTTCGGAGAATTCTGTGCTTTAAAAATTCACATCTGGTCTGGAAAAAACTCATAGGACATGCAATCAGCACAATCACAATCTCACTAGTATATATGGCTCATATTGTGACTCCCTTCCGTCCTTTGTTCTAATCAAAATGTCAGAAAAGTGATCATCCAATTAACTAGACAGGGTTAATTAATCAAATAATCAATTACGTGGATTAAAGTGAGTTAAGGTAATGTGCTCCCTGTGTCTGGTGAACCAGTTAGATGATAGTGATCTAGCTACAGGACATTAATTGACAGGACCATACGCTAGACAAACTGAATTATGGGTAATGATAGTGGGGAAATGACGTTGCTATCAAAACGTGTGCTCACCAGTTGACTCGTGATTTCAGTTAAGGTATCAAGGTGGACTTTATGTATACTTTAAGTTTAAAAAATTCCACAACTGCATTTGTTCGATATCAACATAGATACCTAGCTAAACGGTCGTTGAGCTGTTCCATGCAGGTGTACATCTACATTTGGATAAGGTGTTGACTGGATTTACATTCAGCAGCTTCTGGCTCTCAGAAACCTCCTGACTCATTACTGCCAGACTAAAAGATGAAAGGAAGGATGGAGGAAAGGAAAGAGAATAATTTGCCAAATGGTTTATGGGAATAGATGACAAAATGAATGGGTGGTGGCATTATAATGTCTGCAGCTCTGGATCAAAATTCTCGATAAACTGAATTATCTCACATTTAGTGGCCGATCATTAGAGGGGAGATGGAAAGATTGTGATACGAGATATGCGGCAATCAAGCAAGAACAATGGTTTAGTCAACCCAAATTACATTCGCAGTGTTTGGCGTTTCACAAACTTTTCAGAAAACAGCCTCAAAAACTCTTCAATCAAAAACATTCCATAACGTACGGTTCCATTATGTATTTTTAATGGTAACAATTTCATTGTTAAAAGTCTTTCTTGAAATCATGGCAACCTTTTACAGAGCAGCTCGTCTTAATGAGGGAGCTTATTTCAACGCCATCAGGGAGAATGCGAAACACGACCTACACGAGGAGATAAATTCTTCTTTCCACATCTGGAACTCATCCCAAGTCTGTGTGTTTGTGTGGTCTTTTTCCCCCCTAGATTTATGGGTCAAAAATCCTGGATTTCACTAGACTCGTTGGGGTCCAAGCTGGTGAAAATGGTAGTGTTTACTTTACATTCATGACTAAAGGCTAACATTTTTCTACTTTTTTTTTTTTTAAAGGTGGGAGTGGGGGCCCAAAAAAAATCGGAAAAGGAGTGTGTGTATATTGTGTGTAGAGTTACAAAGCAAGCACAACAGAATATTTGTCTGATGAGATGTTTACTAGCATAGACATAAAACACGCTTGTTTTCTCAGTGCATTCAACTCTATGTACAGTACTAAATTAAAGAGTACAAGATATTAAGGTAGAAATGTGGTATGACATTCTTTCACATTACACTAGCTATCTGTCTCACATATTCCCAAACAGGCGCTGACAATACATACATGTACATAAAAGGGTAGACACATCATCGGCACAAAAACATCCTGTCAAGTCGTAGACGAAAAAAGAAATCTACACAGGTTCATAACGCACACGCACTGAGGCGAAAAGACCTAATACATGGCAGGAAGCAGTAAGTGGTTGTGGTTAACATATATTGTGGTTACTTGATTCTGAGAACAAATAACAGAAGCGCGAAATGGCAGTTCTAATAATGGAAAAGTGAACCCAAGCCGACAGACTTTTCTGCCACCCTCGCTGTAGATGTTTGAGATTAACACGGCTGCATTCTAAACTGAGGCCTTGCTTTTACACATTCCTACCTCCTTTAACGCCGGGTCTTGGGGGACTTTTGAGCAGAGATCCCACAAAAATGTTATCGAGCTCATTTCATTAACAGCCCTTGGAGCCCCCCGTTCAAATTTGATTAGTTTTAGAGAAGAGCATCACAAATCGAGAGTAAAAAATGTCCCGTGGTGTTGTGGAATTCAACCCGCTTGTTATTCTTTACCCATACGCAATGAATGAGATTTTAGGGCAGCAAATCAAAGCTACACGAGACCTTTGTGACTGCACCTTGACCTTTCCACTGGGTTTAAAGTGGAAATTTGAAATGTACCTTTTTCTCCCCCCTTACCCTCACAATTTCAATAAAACTTTGGAAACAAACGTCTTAAAACTGTAATGTTTCAAATGTTTCCTCGTAAAAATGAATGCGCCTCTCTGTTAATCAGTCCTTCCTTAGTCTTTCCTCATAACTTTCAAGCGGCCAGAGGGTGAAAACAGTGATGGGGAGTTCTTTCTTTTAGAAGAGACGCCAGCTCAAAACAAGCTCCTTTTTTTTAAAAAAGAGCTGCAGTCGTTAACTGTCAGTAATTGAAGGTTAAGTAGCTGTTAGTCTCTAAAATGACCCCGTGTCTGCTTTGATCTAAAGCGGCAGTATACAGCTTATTCATTGAGCACACAAGATTAAAAGCAGGCCAAAACGCCAACAACGAACACGCAGGTTACACGTTACGTTAGTGTCAGTGCTCTTTCATTTTGCGAGTATTACAACTGTAGCCATGTTATGGAAGAGCATCGCTCTGCTCGTGCTGAATGGCTGTTTATGGTCCTTCACCGTGCTACGCGTTTTACGTTTTACACTCAAAACACACAGACAGCAGCGGATGGAGCTGCCATGGGAGGTGCCGGGCCTACCATGAGAAGCAATTCAGGCTGCCTGTCCGGCTCACGTCCCTGAAACTTGCCCTTGCTTCTCCAATTCAGTGATAAAGATTGAAAATAGTCATGTAGTTATCTTAATTCATTAGATTCTTTTTTTTTTCCATCTAGGTCAACTGCAGTCTTACAATACTGTTTCATTCCTAAAAGAAAATAACCATTTTATCTGCAAAACAGACGCCTCGGGGCCAAGAGGAATAGTTGGTTTTGGGCTGGGGCCTATTAATATAATCAGGACATTGCTGCGGGACACATCAGCATTTGGGCGAAAACGACTTCAACACTTAACCATGGTTACAATCTGATGAGGAAAGTTTCCTCCAGGATACATTCTGAAAATGTGAAATAAACACAAAATATTACTTGTACCAGCATCACAAAGGCTTTTCTATACTGTGTTTATGACTTACGCCCGGAGTGAAATACCGCTTCAGAGTTTTTATTGCGTGACCTTTCCCAACAGGCACGAGGGAGGTTAAAAGCCAGAGCTTCGAGGGCCCAAAGATGAAACCGTCTCAGGAAAAAACAACTGTGACCTCTGGAGAGCGCCAACTAAGCATTTTAACAAGTCGAAACTCCTCCTTCCTTACTGATATACCACAGTAAAGTAAATGGAATTAAAATGCATCTCGCTAATTTCCTTTGGCCTGAAATTGTTCCGTTTTATTTTAACAGCAAACCTGGATCGCATCCAAGTATCCTTCTAGGTCTCCACTTCTCATTTCTTTATGCCTTACAGGGATTCCAGGCTTCCTTTATAATTAGAGTGCTGGTTACTGAGGGAAATTATTTATGATGACTCACATAGCTCTAGAAAACAATTTTCTCTAACACTGCTATTTTTCTTGTGAATTGATATAGACAGTTATCTCTCCCCTTATTAAGCTTTTTGTTTCTTACCATAGTGTGGAAACAAACACCCCTGAACACCGTCATCTTTTTAAAAAATACCTTTGCCTTCTACCATAAAAATATATAAATAATATACAAAATAACTTTTTCCCATTAACTGACATTTAGTCATAGCAGCAACTGAGGTAAAAATATTGAACTTTTTTATCAAGGACAAAAGGATCCAGAAAAGTCAGCGTGCATTCAAATCACATGAACTTGGTTGAAATGTGAAAAGATGGTGGAGCTGCTGTTTGCCGGGTCTCCTCTTTCAAACGACGACGGCCGCTATCGAAAGGAAACTCAGAAAACTGAAACATGCCCAGCTTGGTCCATCGGCTTGGATGTTTTGGCCATCCGAAACCTCGCTTTTCATGAGATCCCATATAAGTGCTTACGTTCCGATTGCGTGTCCAATAAATAGAAACATCAAATAACAGCAGAACGCTGCAGCCATCACACACATTGCTCAGGGGGGAAATGCTCTGTGTACAGCGTAGGCCGAGTCAGCTCAACGTTTGGAGAAGTCTCTCTAGCCAGAGATGATTTACACACAGAGCCCCTGAAGGTCCTCAGGTGGGGTTGGCAGCATGAGAACCAGAAAAAGTGCAGCACGCTGGGGGAGAGCAGGATGAAGACCCAAGGATCTATGATGGAGTTAATGGAGATGAAGCGGAGGGCAATCAGGTCCGTGTGGTGAGACTCTTTGCGATTTCCTATCGAGTTGAGGTAAACTCTGATCTGTGAGGTTCATAGATAGAGGTGAAAGGTCAGAAAAGAGATTATGCATTAAATGATCTTAAAATCCATAACCCAATGCGAACCCCAATCAAACAGGGGCATGCATAAACCCACAGCCTAACTGGTCATAAATCAAGCATTTAACTTTAACTAACATTTTTGAATGTTAAAGGACTGTTAAAGGAATGTTCCACTCCTCAGATATTATGATTAGCTATGAAAAGATGGGCAGAAATATTCCTCCCCTAAGAAAAAAAAATCATGGCATTAGACAACAAGAACAACAAAAATATCAGGAAAAAAAATCAATATTATTAAAAACAACCAAATGGAATATATCCAAAGTGTACGCTCTGGAAATGGGCATCGACATCTATGTAACTGGGTCATTTTTGCTAATTTCTTCATAAGATTAAAATCCTTCCTCAAAAACATCCTCCATAACGAATGTGCTGGTCTCATAAACTACTGTGTCTTTTACTAAGTAAAGTCACAAGCAATCCAATCCAGAAAACTACGGAGGTCTTTTCATTCCATTTGCATAGCCTTGACTTTTTGCGCTGGCTACTAGTTCATGTTGGTGTTTGCATGTTTGGTGTTTCCTCTCACAGGATGTTTACAGAACAGACAGTAATGTTCTGAATAATAAAAACAAAACAAAAACAAACACATAAAACTTTGTGACAACATGGTGCTTAGTGGTTTTTGACAAAACCGTTGAATCAAAAAGTATTTTTCTAAATAATGATTGTAGTCTTATTTATTGTTTTAAGTGATGCCAATTTGTTTGCATAGTAGATTTGTGAAGTAGTGGAAAGTCTTCTTTTTCCTAATAAACGTGAGACAACAGAGGCAAATTACAATCTAGGGTGGTCTAAGGCCTACTGTGCATACTCGGGCTTAATGCTAATGGAAAACATTCACTCCCTGCTGCTGGAGCCCAAACATTCATTCAGATTAAAGAAACATTATAAGGATGCTTTGTATCACATTCATCAGATAGACTGAAGTTTTTCTCTGTGAGCATCACACAAGAGGTAATGATAAAATTCTTAACTGTTCGTAAAATCTGCATGGCTTAAGTATTCCGTTTTCTAAATAAAGGCAAAGCTAAAGTTCCCTTTGGGCTCCCAGAACCACAGCTACACACGATCAAGCCACATACTATGAATTACCTTGCCTTGTCTCATAGTTCAGTACTTTCCCATCAGAACACTACGCTTTCAGATGGTGGAGTTAGTTGTACAATGAGCTTTCAAACCTATTTTGGGAAGCAGAGCCAAGACTCCTTTGTAGAACCAGATCATTGCACGTGAAAGCAGACACCCTTTGGGCTGGCTCAAATGACCTCGGCTTAGAGCATTTTTATATCTATGCTGCTTGGCAGACCCCTATTCACCTTCTCATTACTCTCCAAACATGAATAATTTTTTTCTTGTCATCAACTGTTGGTTTTTCCTTTCCCATAACAGGTATTTCTGAATTTGTGATTTTAGGCTTGTTCATGTCTCGTCCTGTTCTTTCATCACCGCACTATTCAAGGCAGATGGCTGCTTTTCCTTTGCATGGTTCTACAGAGGGTTTCTTCCTGTGAAAATAATAACCAACATCCCCCTGCGTGCTCAGGAAAGGGACTGAACTGGAGAAAATATTCCATCACCTGTCAGTTCTTTATAATTGTGAATACATTTTTGATTAACTTGACTGTGTTACATTGTTTCAGTTTAACATTGTTTAAAAACATAGCATTGTATACTTTTTCAATTTTAAAGGGCCCTGAGATAATTTTTTGTCAGTCTATTTGCATGAATTGAATCCAAATAAAGCATTTAAATGTATTACCTTCAGTTCAAATAAAGTATAGTCTATAACTTTCTCCTTCACCAAGCTGTTCTTTATCAGTCGGACACATGTGTATTCTTGGAACTCTTATCATTAAGTGGAACATTAAAAAGTATTTGACCCCTTCTAAAATAATCCTAAAGCCAGATAGTAAAGCAGATTTCTCTAATTAGTTCCTTCATTGTGGTTGAAATAAAAATGCAGCTACTGCAGTTAGAGGCTTGAACGAGAAGCAGTAAATTCCCTTGGCTAATGGTCACAAGTTTGGGAACCAGCTTCCTCGTACAATCCGTGGAAGCTATGACTCGTTCTCAGGTTTAGAAAACGCTCCTGCTGCTCTCATGGGAAATTCTGAAAGAAAAAGTGGTCTTTATAGAGTACTGATGTTGCCTGTATTATTCATATCCTGTATCCTCTGAATTTTGTCCTATTTTCTCTGAATTTGTCATAATATCCATGTCTCTCTCTGTGTTTTTCCCCTGGCCTTTCTTTTTTTTCCCCTTTAAAATCTATCCTTGAGTTCTAATCCAGTTGGCTGTGTTTGTTGCAACATTGCGGTGGCAGTGAGCCAGTCTGCTGCTGCTCGGTGACACAATCCAAAAGCTGATTTTTTGGAAGAGTGGTTATGTTCTGGACAGCTGTTAGTGTCAAGTGTGAGAAAGCTATTAAGCATTCCCTTTCTCAGATTTTATGAGGTGCTGTAAGACCACATAAACTTCAGAATGTATTGTAAAGAAAAAGAGATGTTTTTTCCCCAAAAAAACAGCTCCATACTAAATTTCTTTTAATTTCAACCACATTACTTCATGTGTGCGAGCAAAAAATGGAAAACATAACAGATCCAACGTGCAAGGGAATGCAGATTTCTTTCTTTTGTTTTTCCAGTCCGAGTTATGAAATCCGACTCGCACTGTGAGCCCATTTTTCTCTCCTCTTTCAGCACCAACAGGAAGCGTAATAAAAGTGTTAATGTGAAGAGTCTGCGAGGACTTGCTCAGAGGACACTCGCCTGTTGAATGAAAATGCCAAATTGCTGGCTGTGTGTGTTGAGCAAACACTGAATAGCCAAAGGTGATGAAAATGTAATTTCCTAATCTTAATCCTAATTTATGTCTTGTGTTCTTTTACTATACTGAGTTCAAATCAAGGGACCTCTCTTGGTTTGAGGGCAGGCTCTCAGAATGGCAACTTCTTCATTTTTAATGCCATCTGACTTCACGATAGCCTATACATCTATCAGAAAATTGTAATAGGATCCAGGTGTGTATGTGTTATTGTTTTCGCTACCTTAAAAGGACCATCCTATTAAAAATCACATTGTTGGGAACATACTTCTTACAGAGACAAAAGAAAAACATAAATGGAGTTAAAGGTTGGGACTTAAGTTCAGAAGGTTTGAGCATGGAAAACTTAAACGAAGCTCACTATGAACAGTGGTTGCTGGTGTTTGTGTGTGTTCCTGCATGTATGCAGAAGGTGGTCTCGCTTACTTAGCAACTTCTGAGCACTCATAAACCTTTTCATCAATTATGCATCTGTTGTATTATGTTTGAATGTGCAGCTGGGGGAATCTTAAAAAGTAAATTGAGAAGCAACCTTCATAGCTTTTGTCAAGCTAAACCTTCTTAAATTAATTCGGCTTCATTAGTTAGTTAACAGCTTTACTAGGTCAATCTCACAGCACGATAATCAATCTATAAAGCCAATTCATTTTTCTTTGAAGCATATTTTTAAACTAGGGCTTTTCGTTGGATCGATCCTTTAATTGACTTTGACTTAAAGAATAATTAAAGACTGATCCACAAAGATGACAAAAGAATGAAAAAACAAAATTGATTACCAAATAGGACACCGATTAGAAACATAATACCCCTACTCAGGGAAAGAGAGCATTTACTGATGACGAGTGACCCCTATCAGTAGAGGTGATTTGGTCTTTATATGTATCATAGAGGGAGAGAAATGGACAGGAAAATTCTATTTAAGGCAGGATGTGCCCCTAAAAGACGGAGATAAATCCATCTCAGTATGATCATATAAAGTGAGCTTGGAATGAAATATTGTAAAAGGTTTTCGACATCTACCTGCAGGGCAACAGATGAAAATGTAAGCTATTATATAATAGGTTAATTTGGCCGTTGCTTAAATATATGAGACCAGGAAAAAGGAGAAGCGACATGACTGTACGTGACTTAGATGCATGTAAGGTGACCTTTATATGAAAGTCATTGCTATTTGGACAATCGGAATGCCTGCTAAAAGAAGATTTATATAAAAAAAAAAATAAATTCAGCAGAATAGTTATGCAGGTGTGCTGTGTTTGAAAAGAATATGAATATTAATAGGAGATTCCTTATTCTTATCAAACACATCCTAGACATTAAGAATAAAGATATCAGTATCATATTAGTCTGCTTTCTTTTTAAGTGGACTGTATTTGCTGTAATAGTAATGGAGATATCATTTGTAGTTGCCCGAACATTTATCTTTGATCTCTCCAGTTGCCTTCCGTCTGGCTGTGTCATTGAGTCAGCTCATTGAATAAAGGTCATTAATTTAATTTACATCCCTCAGCCTCAGCTGCGCAAGCTGATCCCTGTGTCCTCCATCTACCTCTAGAGGTGCTGCATTTGTACATATTAAGAGGTGGAGGACAGTTAAAAAAAACAAATACACAGAGTAAATGTTGTAAGAAATGTGAGGATCCCCCCCCCCCTCTACACACAACACATACCGGATCTAATCCTGGTATAATACCAAACTTCCTTTTGGGTTTACGATCGACATAATGCTGCTTCATTGCTACACTAAGGACAGAGGTGTCTGAGAAAACGCAGTTCAGTTATTACATTTTGCCTCTGTGTGGTTTATGCGTTTTTGATATGATAATTGCAATTCAGTCGAGAACGGTGCAGAGTTTTGGTTACTGCATTTCCAGGCACAGCTGAAGATGGCCCTTTGGTGCATCACTGCTGTCTGCACTTAAGTGCACATTGTCATAAGCTGCTGGGAAACGTATTGATTGTGCCGCTGATATTTGAGACCACACTTAAAAACTGATGTGGTCACAAACAGATTGTCTGAGAGTCCCACAGAAACGGAATAATGGGTGAGGAGTGATTGCAAATTGAACGTGTGCTTTCAATGCTTAAAGCCTCCGGAGTCACTTCTCATTCTAAATGTTGATTTTCGACGCGATGCACATACTGCATTTGCTTTATATACTGCATTTCCATTCATTTTAGCACGCCTTGATTGGTTGCTTATATATCTGACGAAACAGCGATTTTGCTAACACCGGTCGAAAAAGACCATGAAAAATGCTCACTAATGTCCAATACATGCAGTTTCTCAAGTACTGGATAATGTCTAACCTCCGATTTTTCTACCCTTTCGCATTCAGCTGCCCCTTTTTAGCAAACAAACTTATCAGCATCATCCAGTGCCCCAAAGCAGCCAGATGTTTATCCAGTCCATTGAAAAAGCTACAGGCCTCAATTTATCAGTCCTCAGAAGACACTTTATGTCACATGATAATAGGAGATAATCATATTTTGTGAGACCGTCTGTACTAAAAACTTTGTTTTAGCGTAATATGACGAAATCTGCAATACATAACTGGCAAACCCTATTTCAAGGTCCATTTCATGTCTTCATATGTCCCTACTTTTGACGAAGACAGAATTAAGCCTTTGCAAACAGTACAATGAGGGCCAGTGTAAAAAAATATATCGTAGTCCATCATAAATTAGCCTAACAGTCATGGTAAATCATTTTTGGGTTGTTATAGATTACTTTTGTGTTGTTTTCTTATGTACATTGCAGGATTACAATTTTAGACCCTGTTAACCTTCTCATAAAAAAGATTAGGAGAATGTTACTAGGCTCTGAAATCGTAATTCATATTCATTAGACATCAACCAAATCGTTCTCTGATGATACTACAAACCACATCCTGGATTTTCAAGGTCAAGTACAGTCATACACTGTAATCACATTGAAGCCCACAGTTTGTGAGGAATATTTTCCTTTTTAATATAATAATGTCTGTTTGAAAGTGTCTCTTGCATGTGCTACTTTCTATTTTTTTTACCCACCCTCTCACCCAGTGACTCATTTAAGTGAAGCCCTGGTTAGTTTTCTACCAGGATGTTTACTGCCACTACCTACCAACCAAAATCTTAGATCTTTGAATTGTTCCTCTCGCTCTTTCTTTAGACCACTTCCATGTCAAGTATAATTTTACGGCGTTTGTGGAACATTCATAATACATTCAGAGCAAAAATAAATTCAAATTTTGGTTAGAAGTGCCTGACGCAAGCAACCAAACTGCCATCACATTAATACCTCACTTTAAAATTTTATGTATATTTCCTTTCAAATCCAACAGGGTCCTCAAATATGTTTCTGAAAATACCATTACAGAGTCTTGGTGCAAGACAATGTACAATTACTACCTCATAATCGTTAAATCTATATTTAAGCATCAAGTGTTTCCACCTGGGCCATCAAAATAGGCTTCTGAGTCAGAAGTGCATCCTGTCTGAAGCTTAGCCACCCATAGTCTATTGTTTGATGTTTGAATAGCTTCATTTCTAGGTATTTCAGAGCAATAAATACAACTGAATACATTAATGGCACGCTTGAGATTAAAAGCCATCTTACCACTTTTTACGCAGCTTGGCTAGATTTATTACTCTGCATATTTAATAGTATGTTAAACTACTTTTATATGTGTTTTTGGTATTCATCATGTACTGCTGCTCTTTGAGTATAAAACTTTTTTTAAGGGCCCCAAGTTTTCTTCCAAAATATATCTGATGAAGTCATTGTCTCAAGCATGACGAGCAAACAGCCAAACATCTGCTCTGATCAAACCTAATCATTTGTATCTGATTAACAGAACCTGATTGCCACTCAGTCTTATTTATTATGAAAGCAGTCAGGGTGGACTTATATGAGATCTACTAAACCCTACTCGCTTTAGTACAACCAAATTTAGGTGGTTTTCCACTGGAAGTGAGGTCTCAGCAGAGACGTGAGCTGACCGATCCAGGACGCTATTCATATACGACACACAAGGACATCGTGGCAGTGAAATACTGGCTGAACTTGGTGTTGGATCACAATATTTGTTCATATAAAAGGGATTTACAGCATGGGCGATCACAAAACTAAAGAAATGGATGTTTGTTGTTGCCATGCTTTTAAAATGGGTGGAGTTCAAGAAAAGGAATCAATTTCATTACTCAGAGTCATGTGACTCCCTACCCAAGCAGAATCGGTGCTAAAATTGTAGCTGATGAATATGAAAAAAACAAACAAACATTAACCATTCCGCTCAGCTAGACTGAGCGGAATGGTTAAACAAAACCGACCAAAAGAAGGACTTCAGTTTATCACCACTAAATAAACTGACACTACACAGTCTTTGTGTACAGTGCGTGTGTGAATCTGACGTTCTCTTACCACCAGGGGTAGCGTGCAGATGATGAAAATGATGGTCATGAAGACCAGCAGGATCAGATGCTCCACCTCCTCGGCCATAGACAGAGCCCTTCGCTCGCTGTTGGTTCTCGTAGTTGCCATCATTGAGCCGTGTCTCTTCCTACGCTGGTACATCTTAAACAGCTGGTAGACCACAAATCCATTGCACATGACAATGGTGAGGACTAGCACCAGCATGACAGTGGCATACAAGTTCGCATAAACTCTGTCTTCTGTTTTGTGTGGGTTCATGTCAATGAAGCACCACGTGCCAGGACAGTATTGGACGTACTGACCAAATCCAGCAAAAGGAAGCAAGCAGAATAACACACAGAAAAGCAATAACAATGGAATTGTGACATAAGCACATTTTTTGGTGACGTGTTGGCTGTACAGGTAGGGGTACCCGATGGCAAAGCACCTCTCTAGTGCCATGGTTAATAGGAGTGACATGGTGGCAAGGCTAAAAAAAGTCATGCTGACACCAAAGTAACTGCACAAGGTGGGAGGGTCAAACATCCCCACCAGAGTCGTGTTGAGTGCGTAGGAGATCTGCACAATTGGGCTGATCAAGCAGGTCCCTGCCAAGTCTGTGATCACCAGAGATGTGATGAGGACATGAAACAACGCACCGCGCCGTGAGCCTTCGGCCCGCAGGTTCCTGCGTCGTCGGAATTCCAGGATCACCAGAGCGGCAACATTGCCAAAGATCCCCATAGCGAACATGACGCCGCTGATTACCGGGCTTTCAGAGGTGTTGATGTAGGTCTTGTTGTGGCATAAGTCTGCTTCTGAAAGATTGCTGTTCATCTTTGATTTTCAATTTGTCCTCAAAAAGGAGTCTTTAAGTAGTTACATAGAGCCATTCCGTGAAACCTAAAGGGAAAAAAAGCATCTGTGAGAAATAAAGCTACAGCAATTCATCTTTAATAAACCACTCAAGACATGAGCTTCAACTTGGGCAATGAGAAACATTTTATATTGTTATGTTAGCGCCCCAAACTCAGCAGTAAGCTTGGTAATTGAGAAATACTTCAGCATAAATTTGGCAGCAACTTTTACATTACATTTTGCATTATTCTTAAAATGAGCAGACAGCAGTGGTAAAATGTACTCCTCTATCTTTCTAATGCAAATAATATAACCCTTCCACAACCCGAAGGCAAAGAATCACTTTGCTTTAGTGAATCTAAACTATTCCAGTGCTGCTCTGCCGACTTTTCCTGGATTCAGTCTCTCACACAGGCCAATGAGGCCCAACACTCAATCTTTTTTCAGTATTTATTCATTCTTATTAGTTTAAACAGGAGCACTTTGCATTTCCCACACTTGAAACTCCAGCATAAGTTTTGAAGTTGCGAAATGCACAGTTCCTCTTCTGCCTCAGCATTTGTCAGATAATCTGCTTTGCGCCTGTGGATTCAGTTCCCAAACGTTCAGATCCACACGCAAAGATACGCTCCCAAAGTTTTAAAACAACTCGGTATAGGGGAGACTGAAAAATCAAATATTGCTTTAAGATGATCTAGTTTCACGTGATCAGTCAGTCAGCCTGAGCAGATGCTGCCTTGCACAGCCAATGCGGAACCCCTCTTTGCTTGTGAGTACACAAAAATAATGCATTTGCTCCAATTATGCAAATGTGAGGAACCATGGATCTGACACACTCTCTCTGTTCTCTCCTGATAAGCTTACTTTTGAGGTTAAAGAAAAACACCAAAACGATCAGATAACACTGACAACAGAGAACAAGGATATCTAGATACGTTTAAATGTCCACATATAAGGAATCAATATTTGTTGCCTCTCTCATGATCCTTTGACATACATTATTTACTCAAGAGAGGACAGAAAAATAAAAACAGGATGCGGCTTGTTTCATTTCTGTCCGTTGGAAAGAACGGTCTGTGCCAAGAGCAGCGCCTGAAATACGCTGACGACAGCACGGCCAAAGTTTGAAAAACTTCTTCTGCGTTAAAATAATTTCAATTAATCATTATGGAAGAGTAGCGTATTTCCTTAATACAGAACCAAGAAAGTGTAACTGACACTTGCTCCACTACAGTAAGTTTTTGCTTGAAGGTGTGTGAGCGAACAGCGCGAGCCGCCGGCTGTCGCATCCGCGAGGACCGCGAAGAGACATCACGCGCCCTAATTGATGGCGAACCTCACCTGCTGCTCGCGAGGCTCCCCGTAGTTCCCACTGTCAACGGCTCCTGGGTTTGTTGGGGATAAGAGAAAGTTTATCCGGGTTTTCCTTTTTCTTTTCCCTCCTCTCCCTCCCTCTCTCTTACTCTCTCTCTCTCTGGAAGAAGTGCAGTCCTGAAGGTGTGCGGTCGAAGGGGGCGAGGCGCACCGCACTGTAACACGAGCGGGCATGAATGGCCCCGGATTACAGGAGGCTGCGGCGTGACGTCACACGTTAGGCGACGCCCATCTGAGCGCACAAGCCGGAGCTGGTTATCTGCAGTTCGATCACTGCGGCGTTTGAAACCACAAATTCTTCACATACTCTCATGCTCACTCTTAAAAAGCCATTTTAAATTTGTAATAGCGATAAAAAAAACAGAGTAGAAAATTAACAAAGGTGTGAAAGAAGAAACTTGTTGACAAATAGATAGTCTTGGATAAAAAAAAAGAAGTTTGATAATTGATTTCTTGTGTCAGTGGGTCTAAACTATGTTTGAAAAAAAGTATTATGAGGAGTCAGCTTGTTTTTTGTTTTTTTGTTGTTTTTTGTTGGGAATTTCCAAGCCAGTGGCAGAGCTACAGTGTGAAAGATGTGTCTTTTGTGTCTCATGAAAAGGGTCTGCATGTTCTCTTGGGTTTCCACCCCCACTACAGTTGACTTGGAGACATTGGAAGTTACATAACTGTTTGTGTTTCCCTCTCATGTGTCCCTCATGAGCCAGAGATTCAATCAAGGGCCTGGCTCCATGCTCAACTCAATGCCTTCATTTCCCCTTTGGCCTCATCAAAGCAAATAAATAAACATATGATGCAAAGATTGTAGTTCCTGCTCTTTTTTTGTCCTGCTTTTTGCCTCTCCTCTTTTTTTGAAATTGGCATTTATTTAAGTTTTCACCATTCCACACTATTATACAAGATCACAAGAGAATGGTTGAATGGTAATGTAATCAACATTTTATCACTTTTAAAGAGTGAAGGACTGATTCATTTGATGTTCTATGTGGAATACACAGACTGTCTTGCTTAACTTTTAGGGACGTATAATGTCATTTTGAATCTTTTAGCAAATGCATAAAGCATCAATGGACATTTGAACCATTTTAACCAGAGTAAGACCTACTTTTTAATGGAGTGGAACACAGACCCTTAAAAACCAAAACATCTTCTTTAACGAAACTGAATTTGAATGCCCCCTAATGCCGCTGAAATACATCATTTCATCCATTTGAAGAAAACAAGAATTGCCTTAGTGGATCATAAATTTGGACTTGATGCATGCTGAAAGCCCAGAGTGCTCTCATTTTCTTCCTTCTTTTTTCAGCACCATTAACAAATTCTTAATTGGCAGGATATTTCCATAATGCCATCACTTCATTCTTAATCTGGTTTAATGTTGTTCCCCACTCCATCTCCCTTTCTTCACATTTCTCCTTCCACTACCAAACTGGTTTCTTGAAGACATTTTATAATTCTTACGATAATGGAGTGTGACAAAAACATGGGAGAGGGGGATTATTTATAACCTTAGAAAGATTAACTGAGGCCCTAAACCAACAAAGAATAAATAAAAACGTGAGTAAAGATTATTGCCCCCATGTTAGATGTATGTAACCATAAACCAAGCCAAGACATACAATGTTGTCGATACCTCATTGTCATAAATGATTGATAATATTTCATGGAGTTAGAGCATTCTGAATGAGCACGTCTTAAAGTGACTAAGAAAAAGCTTGTCATCGTATTTTTCTCCACGGGACTTGATTATTTTAAAACCTCCATTTGATGGTCTGTCTATCTTAAGATATATGAGACAGCTTATTCAGGATGCTGCTACTTGAGTCCACGCTAAGACCAGGAAAGCTTTAAAAAGGTTGGGGGCCAAAATAAATTTAACTAAACCTCCAGTGCATGAAGAGTTTTTCAAGCATCTTAGGTCACCCGGAACAGGTTTTTATCTCTGTCCCCAGAGTTTGAACTAAAAATGGAAAAGCTGTTTTCAGCTTTTGTGCACCATATGTTGTCTTTGGAACAGACTCTCTGGGTTTAAGACTCTCCTGTTTACCATCACATTTGATTGACTACAATAAATTGAAGGCTTTAAATAACTTTCACCACACTACTACCTTCAGCTCTTTCTTTATTCTCTGCAAGGCCCTTTGAATCGACATAAAAAGATTTAATATTTAGTCAGATTCAGGAACAGTACAGACTCTCATCCTTGCCTGAGCCTGGTTTTGATTTGAACCATGTCTATTTATGCTCTCCTTTGCTTTTATGAGTCTATTCTCCTCTTTTTTAACCTTTGCTCTGGATATCTCTCTCACAGCAGGCTCTCTTTGCCTTTTTCAATAATAGCAGCACACATATCTTTTCCCTCAATTTCCCCAAATTTTCATTATTTTCCTTTCCTCTGTACTGTACTGTGTTATATGCTTTTGATTACCTACTCTTACCTGTTTTTGCCTCCTCATTTATTTTTTCTAACTTTTTATTGTTTTGTTTGTTCCGTTTAAAACACAATCTACCAATTTAATTCACTATTTTAAAAAAGATGTTTGCAGATTCAATCGAACAATATTTCCAGTGGGGGAACATTAAAAGCAACAAAATACATGATATCCACTTTGGAATCGATCCTCAACATGAATTATGAAGTAGAGTTTCTCTCCGTCTAGACCTTTTAACACTGATATTAATCAGGGTCTTGATCCACAAATTCTGTGGTGCGTTTTCCTTCTCAGTCTCTTGCTCACTTTCACACACACACACACACATACACACACGGGCGGACACACACACACACACACATCCATACTGCAGTGATCTGTGAGCGTTTTGTGTTCCTGCTAATGGGCTGGGCTTGAATCATTGATGAGGTAATTGATTTTGAATATCAGATGTCTTGCCTAAGCAGCCTGTAATTACACTCTGTAAGAGACAGATTACTTCTAAAATATGAAAATATGATGGGATGACAGGTTAATCACTTCTTCTGATCGACTGCAGGGCAGAATGTGTTGAACAATTACATTTCTATTACAAAGTTTTGTAAAGTACAGTTATATTACTTTTTTTGTTTTCCTATTACAAACAAGGAGATTTCGTTTAAATTAGTTTTCACCTATCATAGAAGCGCCTTTTACCATTTTGCATGTTTTCTAAACCCTTGCCTGGCCTTTGCCTCCACCTGTAGGATTCTTAATGTAAGTGCAAGCATCAACTATGGTGCCGCTTTCACATTATATTTAGCCTTAAATGACCTTTCATTCCTGAATGCACCTCTACAGAATCTGCTGTGGAGAGAATAAAACAGGCTCAGATTAAACTCATAGGTCTTCTACTGTCCATCGCAGAGATTGGAGAGCTTATCAGAGAAGTGCCAGTTTGAGAGTGTGAGGAGAAGCATTTCCAGTTGGATAAAAGAAAAGCCCAACTCAAAACAAAGCCCTGAGAGAGGTGCCTGATGATGAAAATCAGCTGCAGACTGTAGGCAGAAGGCAGAAGTCTGGGTTACAAGTCCAGGGAGCATGTGTGGAGAGACATAAAGAATGCACCACATCAAATCTGACTGAGCTGCAGGCAATCCGGCATCAGAAGCAAAAATTTCTCAATCTGAATGGATGATTAGAAAGATATACAAAAAAGATTTTAAAAGCAGCTTCCGTTGCCTTTAATTTGCATAAAACCTGCTAGCTTTTTTTCACACACAATTTCTAATGACACTTTCCAAAGTGCTGTGATTTATTGCTCTACTGAACTAATACTAGAGCCAGATGGGCTTTCAGCACTCAGCTGGGCTGAGGTCAGCTTGTCTGAAGTGGACATTCAAGATAGTTAAAAGGTTATAAAACACAGGACTAATACTTTCAATCTTATAGGAGTTCACTACAGAAATCAACATTGTCTGGACTTTTACAGTGTCTGTAAGTTTTGGATGACTTTTATCACATTCACACATATTCTGCTTGTTTGTACTCATCTGTTCATTTTGTATCTTCCTCCTTTCATTCTTTTGCCATTGGTGGGGGATCTTCGCCAGGATAATGGAAGATCAGGAGTGTATTGAAGAGCCAGTAGGGTAGGGCCTGTTGGTAATAGATATAATTAAAAATAAAGAGCTCAGTATGTGGACAGCACCAATAATTCTAGCATGGGACTTATGCGTCCCATATGGCAAGTAACTGGACCCCAAGACAAATATTTGTACTCTTAAAGGCCAAGAAAGGTACATTTTTGTTCCCAAATAAACAAACCTGAAGAGTTGACTGCTGGAGTTGACTGGCCATGCTGCAGTAAGCTGTTACAGACACTGGGTGGCAAACACGGTTCGCTGTGAGCAGTAGGAATTCCTCCAGTTCTTGGTTCCTGAGATTATCTAAATACAAAAAAATAAACATCTCTTTATATGTGTTGCTAGCGACTGACAGATGGTGACAAATAAAAACTGTAACATGTGCATCCTTTTAAATAAGAACTTAATCTCCAGTGGCTATACATACAAACACACACACACGTGGGTATATATATATATATATATATAAATATGTATTAAGAAATAATAGGATTAGTATTTAATAAAACAAGATTAATAAGCAAATGATAAAATTGTGTTTTTTCATGTTTGTCAAAGGCTGTGTGTGTGTGTGTGTGTGTGTGTGTGTGTGTATCGTGTGTGTGTATCAAAGACATGTTACAACCCTATGTGTCTTTGACAGCGCTAAGAAACAGATACACTTACATCCGGATTAAAAATGCTCTATTTGTCTTTTCTTTAATTCGAGCCAGATGTTAACCCCCACCCCCCCCAACCCCCCCAAACAGTGACTGCTGTCACTCATCCCGCCTGTGGCCAATCAGAGCGGGGCCCAGCTCCTCCCGCCCTGCCTCCATCCCCTCCTCTCTCCTCTAAACAGACTTGCTTGACTTTAGAGTTTGAGACTTGGTGAGTTCTCCTCCTTTTTTCTGCTCTCCCCCCCTGTCAGAGACCAGCCCAGCGTCCCTTTCTCTCTCTGCTCGTCTCGGTTCTCCCCCGGTTCTCCCCCAGCTCTAGTCCGATGCCGGCCGTGCGCGTGCTGGCGCTGCTCTGCGGTGCGTGCGTGGTCTCCGCCATCCACCGCACCGACCTGTTCCCGCACGGGACCCTGAGCGGGGATTTAATTTTGGCCGAGGGGGACGATGAGACGTCCAGAGTGCTGACCCTCCCTCGGCCCCTCTACTTCTTTGACACCCTCTTCTACAAGCTGTATGTGAGTACGGTTCCGTTGAATTATTAGCCCGTTACAAAAGTTTCCGGGGGTTTTTGTGTCAAAAAAGTGACATAGCTGAGCTCTGATTGGTGATTTATGGACAAAATCGGGAGACCATTCTGACATCACACACAGTCGACGGATGTTTTTTTACGTTTTTCTTCAATGAAATATTCAAAGCTCCAACTTTTTTTTCCTGTTTTTTGTTACGATTTGTCATTGTTGTTGCAAATGTCCACATTAAAGACACAATTGTACACTATTTAATTTAAAAAGAATGAATTGGATTTGTTACATTTATGTGCTGTGGCCCCAGAATGACTTCAGGGTTATGACTTCATATATTGCCTTGACATGATCTTTTTCAGTTTAAGCCTCTTCCGTTTGTTGAGTGTCATTAACTAGAACCATGCAGGATGGAATGACAGAGAATACAAAAACACTAAATGGCATAAATGAATGACAATATTTGGTTCAGGAGATCTTCTCCACCTTCCATTTGGTGTTATTTGCTTTCTTGTGCTCATAAGCGGTCTGTGTAAATGAAAAGTACACAGTCTCCAATGTAAAATGGTTCATTTCATTGCCTGAAGACATTCTGCTCCTGTACTACCCATCCAGATTATCTTTTACATTTTGTATTTATTATGCAAAGTGCCTAACAATAAGTTGGGTTGGCACATTTACTCAAACTTTTTCTGCTAACCCTAATTACCGGTATATAAACTTTCATAACTGCCATAACCTTTTCTCGCACTGTTATTTATCCCATGTCAATATTATATTTCAGAAGTGGCAGAAGCTACAATATCCTGCTTCCAGACCGAATAGTGGAAAGTGTCCTAATAAAGGGCCGGGGTCCTACATAATTAGCGCTGACAGAAAAAGTGGTGGGCCGTGCTCCTGCAGAACAAATATTCAAATATTTAAACATTTTTAACCATTTCAAATTTTAGACAGGTGGGACAAGAATAATGTTTTCTTTAAACAATAAAAAAATCTAAGTATATATGCAGAGGCTTCAAAGTACAGGTTTGAAGTTTTGAATCACCATCATATAGGCCTTGACTCATCCTAGCACCACTCTGAAATCTATTTGCAACTGATTTATAATTAAAATTATGATACATATATATATATAAACATTTATAGAGAGAGGGAAAGAGAGAGAGAGTCATTTATGATACAATATATGTACATAAATGGGTTTCATATTTTCTTGAAATGGCCTATAATAAGAATACTTTATTCCATTCATACTCCATTCTACCACAGCACTTCTACAGTTATTACACCAGGCATTAGTTTGTATTACGTTATACCTACCAAAGTATCAGAGAGTGCCATTCTTCATCGTCCCGCATAGTGTGTAAATACAAGCGGAAAACCATTGCAGTGTGGTTTGCCTGTTTCGAGAGCGTAATCAAAGTCCAAACAGGAGGATCCTTGTGGGAGTTCTAGTGGTTTACAGGGGGAAATGAAGCTGTTCATTATGCAATCTCTGAGGTCTGTGGGGGGGGGGTTCCAGTGGTTTATATGTTCAAGATGCTGCCTCATCCCAAAGCTCTCTCTCTGTTTGTCGCTTTAGGTGGCCACCAATGGCATCATATCGGCCCACGACCTGCCACTGGAAAAGCAATACGTCGACGACGGCCTTCCGACGGATTTCCCCGTCGTGGCCCCGTTCCTGGCCGATATAGACACCAGCGGCGGGCAGGGGCAGATTTTTTACCGGGTGACTGAAACACCCAGTGTTCTAAATAGAGTGGCACAGGTACGTAAAAGAGGATTTTGCAGTCGTTTGAAATGGAAAAAGAAGACTTGTGAATCATGACTCAACCCGTCGTCCATTCGTCCGCTCATCTAGGAGGTACATCGGGGCTTCCCAGATGCTAAATTCGCGCCCACGCACGCTGTTGTGGCAACATGGGAGGATGTTGCCGCATACGAAGGACAAAGTCGAGTTGCGGGGCAATCGAACAAGGTAGGGTGGGAACTGACGCCGGTCACTTTTGTCCAGCGGGTGTAGTGAGGAGTTTAATGAGAAAGAGGCCACATTTTTCAACATGTTTCGGGGTCTTTTGAGACACACAATCCCAAATTCCTGGAGGATGTGCATCCCCTTCTAATCAGCCCGGGGTGCGGGGGGTCTATTTGTAATCCTCCCCTTCCCCTCCTAATCTGCTTCTTAACCTTTGTGAAGGGTCAGGGGTCATCTTTAAATGTCATCAAAATCTTCCCCCGGCCCTTTCGAGTCATTATCTTCTCCTCCGGTTCACACACAGGTAGAAACCAACATGCTTTGAGCACTCATGCATTGACTCTACTCCCCTTCTTGATTGTTAATCATTCAGAGTCCTTCAGATCTGTCGCTCTGACAGTTCTTTTTCATGCATTTGTACTCATTCAGTAAAGCTGGTGCCATTCGAATTTGTAGCTATTGGCACATCCTGTTTTGTGTTTAAACTAAAGATTCTGTTTCTTAAATAGTTCAGGGACGATACAGTCATATATGACCTGCTATCAGGGTTAAAATGGCATCTCTCTGTTAATGAACTTGGGAGACATCCCGCGGGATGGCATTAAATGTGTGTTTTCTTACTGACGGGTTCTGGGGGTTCTAAAACTGACGATGCTTTGAAATGCCAGCTGACTGCATCACTGGGTGCAAAAGGTAGAACAAAAACCTGTATGGGTGAGCTGTTAAGCAAATGCTCCTGCTGTTTTAGCTGTTTTTCCAATGAGAAATGACACTCTAAGGAAGGTAAACTAAACTGGAAAAGAAAAAACCACAACTTTTTTTTAGCCTAAATAAACTTTCCTCTTCTGACAGTTAAAAAGCACCCTGCAATTTGTTAACCCCTCACGGCTGATTTTCAATTCATGTCCATCACTTTGTTGGAAAACCCCTTTAATTTTTCCTGGACAGAAGATGGGGCTTACCTCTCCAACGTTATATCAATATTAAAAAAAACTTTCCAAGGAAGTCGTTCATTAATTACAAACTCCTATTACAAAGAGTTACCTCGAGGAGCATTAAAGGCTTTGTTTAGGTTGAACCTCTGGACACGCTCCAAGTAAAACTAGGCCTACTGCAGTTATCGATCAAACAAACAGTGCTTTGTAGTTCCTGGTGTGTCGCATGTGGGATGGAGGGGATGAAGGGAGTGGTAGATTTAAGGAGAAAAAAAAGCCCCAGGGGATCTCTTTCTTCTGGAGTGTCCCACCCTCACTTCTGTGTTTGCGCCTTTCTTCCCTTTCATAGACTGGTTTCTTTTAGACTAATTTCCGTCCCCCTGACTGATCAAAAACATCGAAACATCGAAACAATTGAAGGGAGACGGAGTCGGATCCTCTTTGGACTCTTCTCTGTTACCTTGTATTCCACTTAGGACTACTAACACTGGGGAAAATGTCAAATGCCTTCACCCCAAAGTTTTCAAATCAGAAGTAGAATCTTAGATCTTTATCTGATTATTGTGCCTGAAGCAGACATATGTGCACCTTTTTAATGTTTGAGGGGCTGAAAGTGCAAAGAGTGGACTTTATTTAGCATTATTTAGATGGTCTGCCCGGCTTCTCATACTGGAGCTGGTCGGGTCTGGGCACGATTTTTCTTCAGTGGGTCTCTCTTCGGACTGATAGCATCTTCCTTTGAAGAGATTAGCCAAAGGTGTTGGGTGGGGTGGGTTGGGGGTGGTATGCCATGTGCGTGTGAACTGATTAACCTGGGGTGTGTGTTCTCAGGGTTGTGGATCTGGAGTGATGGGGTGGCGTTTTTTTGGGGGGAGGGGGTAGACTGTGTGGTGCCTTGGGGTTAGATGTGGAGACATTTTTCATAAAGGAGGCTGTGATCTTATTGGAATTCATGTTTACGATGCTATTAGAGTAATTGGATGGCATTTATTTGTAGGCACAAACACATACTGTTAAGTCACCCTTCTTGTCGCTCATTTTTGGGTTGGTTCGAGTCATTTCAGTGGAAGGCTTTCATCCGGTCATTTTCTAAAAATAATACATTGACTAGCCCGTTGGTCGGCTTCATGCTCCATGTTTTCTCATCCTACTTCACATCTGGCAGTGTTGGTTAACATCATCGTCTCGTGCATGTCGATTAAACCAGCTGACAACTCTGTTAGCTTAGCAAAACACGGGCACTGTCCACTTTAACGGCCAGGAGGAATTCCTGTTTGAATAATTAATATGAGTGCATGAATACATGTACATGAATCCCAATGAGGACATCAACATTCCTTCTGACTCTGTTTTTGCACTTTTTTTTCTTTTACACTCCCTGAAAAGCTCCATGTGCAAAAGAAAAATAATTTTTTTTTTGGTTATCTCATTCGTCTCTGTAGCACAAAAGGAAGTGCTGTTACCCTTACGGTGATTTGTTGTTTCTCAGGCCCCCATGCAGTGACACAGGGGTCATCCCGTCAATTACGCTCATTCTGCCTCAAAGCAGACTGGGACTGTACTTCAACTTTCATAACATGTTATTCCGTCCCCGTGCCTCTGGGACAGATTCTGTTTATCATTGGACAAACTGCAGGGATCCACTGGCCGTTCGTCTTAAGCAGAGTTCATAAAATGGCCCAAAATGTTTAGGGTCTCGGCTGGAGTACAGCCAAAGTCTACTTATATGTACTTCACGGGCCATTTGGGATATAGGAAAGTAACTACGGGTTGTTAATATGCTGATGGTTTCAAAACCTATCCATAAGCCTTGAAATGATAAAATTTCCTCCTGCTGTTAAGGAGCATGGTGCATTATTGGGTAGAGCTAAAGGCTATAACCGGAAAGTCCCCCCTCCTACACACAAAATATAGGGATGTTCTTAAGACAACAGTAAAAAACTTACAGGACCACAAGCCCGGGCTGCAGTGTGTGCATGTGTTGCCAGTTCCCACGCTGCAGGCCCCTCTGAGAGGGCTGGCAACTGGACGGCAGCTGCTGTCTGTCTCAGTCGGCCCGCCTGCAGCTGCGCTGCGGTGGACCATCTGAAACACCAGCAACCGACAAACAAGTGTAGTCCCATTATCCTGTCCTCTTTTTTTGTGCTACGCTCAAATCCGACCGGAGCGAGTTCCAGCTCCGGTCGAGAGCCGCGACGCGATTCGGGACATAGCTCCAGCGTGGTGACTCACACATTCAAAACCCAGAAAAAAATTGAGAAGCATAAAATGGTGTGTGACAGAGATTAAAATACATTTAAAAGTACATTTTTACTTTTCTGGTTAAGGGCTCTTACTGTGCAGCAAATAGTTGATGACCATGTCCGAACTTAAAGTGAGTTTGAATAAACATCTGTCAACAATGTCAGTTGATGATTGTGTCTGGTGTGTGTATATGTGTGTGTGAAACGTCTGGCAAGGACGCAATTTTAAAGAAAAATAAAAAAGGTGTGACAGAATGCCTGCAGGGAGTTTAGGTGTCAAGATACGAGGGGCTGAGAGTCTTTCATCTGTGTTGGCTCCAATTTGTTTTCTTCCAGCTGTGAGTCTCTTAAGGAACACCAGGACTGCTTCACACACACAGTGAGGCAGACACAAATACATATGGCCGATGACCACACAGAAAGAGGTGGGACGGGGAGGGCCACGCACAAGCAAATGGCCCTTATTCACAACCTCGTGCTACATTTTGTCAGCATATTTAGAAACATTGTCTCTCTCTCTCACTTGTTGATCTAAGTTTATGTCATTTAAACGATCGCAAGCTGTCAGGTCTCATAGCACAAATTAATGCTGAGGTTGAGTGGAACACATTTTCTTTTTAGTGTTTCGGTAAAGGCTCAGTCTCAAACAGTGGATATCGGGTGCTTGACCCAGTTCAAAATCTTAGCATCGTGTTGTTAGCTGACACAAAGAGGAAAATAGTCTGCAAAAAAAAAGGTTTTTGGTTTAAAGGCACAGGACAGATGAGACCTCTACAACAGGAAATGTTGGGACTAGGAGGGGGCATTTTCCCCCCAAAAAAATTAAAGTGTTTTTTGGTGAATTCTTGTGATGTTGATAAATTCGGGAACACTGCATATTGTTCAGAAATCAATATTCTATGCATGGGAATCGTTGATAAAATCATGGACAGGTGACATTTGCAACACAACATGCCTCCCCACCACCACCACCACCCACAAATCCGGAGTCTTGCACAGGCCTGGATGTGGAAGGTTTAACACCCCCTGTAACCCTGTAAACCAGACCTTTGTCCTCTACTCCAACCTTGCCCACCCCACAAATCCTTTTATCTCTTCAGCCTCTTTCACACAGTCAATTAAAGGTGGGGCTGTGGTGCCTTTTTTTCCCATGGTCTTGTTCTCAGTAAAAGGGTTTGGATCAAGGGATGGTGTGGTTTCTGGGCACCGTATGTTTCTGATTCTGCTACAGACACATGCCTGGCAGTCTTGAAAATTTACATTTTTGGGACAGAAAGGCTGGATTTTGGTTTAATAACCAGTCCCTCTGTACAGTTAGTAGAAATAAGTGAAATACATGGTGGGAAGTTTGGAAAAACCCTGAGTGAACGTCGCAGTTGACAATGTGGAAAATGTAACCCTAACCCTAACCCTGACCAGCACATAGCATTTCACTTAATTGTCAATGCATTAACACATACCCGGGTGGCAGACGCTTTTTCGCCCTCCTGAAATCATGCAAAAAGATACCTTCCAGCATCCTGGTGGATCCAGCTTGTGTGGCTCATCCTCTCTTCCTTATCTTTTCCTCCAACACAAGTATGAAAATAAGCAGAAGATAAGAGAGACACTTTGTAGGAGTATTTAAACAAATAAAAAGAGGAATTATTCCCAGTACTCAAACTTCTCATCCTGCCACAAAAAAAAAGAAAACAAGTCAAGCCCCCCTCACTAATTACAAAGAGTCTGGAGGCTACAAAGTCTTTCCCGCCCACAAACAAGATAGCTTAAAGATGTAGATGTAAACAATTAGGAACAGTCTCGCATACATCCACACGAGTCTTGAATATATGTTGAGGGACATCTGTGTGTGTGTGTGTGAGTGTGTGTGTCTGTTTGAACCCTGTGGCTTACATTGTAAAGATGTCTGGCTTTTAAGTTGTAACATCATCATGAAAGATGGTCTGACACATACCGGGACAGATGTGGAGATCAACATCTGTGCGGTGGATTATGAGACCAAGGCGTGTGTGAAGACAAGCAGGTTGTGTCCCAAACAGAGAAATCCCCCTGAAATGGGTGTTTTTTTCCCCCCGTTCTTGGTGGTAAGCAGAGTGAGCCGAACCATCCTTCCCTGCGTGTAGTTCCTTCACATTCCAGTCCATGTGGATTTGATTTGACTTTTTTCTTTTTGTACATTTGCCCCTTATTTGTGTGACATTGACGTGTGAAGGCCAAATCAAGAGATGCCTGTGGTACTTGCAAGAGGGGAAGTGAGGGCGAGACATCCAGAGTAGCAAAAGAGATGAAAGAGGAAAGGGAAGACAAAAAAAAAAAGGGAAGAGGGCGACTGAGGTGCTAAGTTTGAACAGGAGGAGCGAGCAAAGACAAACCTGTATGCATTAGAAGTGACCTCATCCCGTTTACTCTTACAGAGCTGGGCGATGTTCAAAAGCTGGTTAGCTGCAAAAAGGCTAAAGAAGTGCGAGAAATATCCAGATTAACTGTCCTGATTTTATCTGTGAAGGTTAACACGTTCCAAGCTGTGATTGGCTACGATGAGACCGACTCCTATGTTCTTTTCCTCTACCCCGAAGGAGGTCTGAACTTCTACGGGACTTCACCCAAGGTATGATTTAACAGCTTGGATATTTTCCATCACAGCTGCTTCTCACTGTTACTGCTGGTTTGATTAATAAAGATGTTGTTAATCGCCTTTTTTTTTTTGGTCCCTCCTTGCAGGAGTCCTACAATGTTCAGATAGAGCTTCCCGCCAGGGTTGGATTTAGCAGGGGTGAAGTTTCCTATTTATTCTTCTCTAGAACCGAGGGACCTTATTACAGTGTCACCAGCAATGAACAGAGCGTGAAAAACCTCGGCCAGTAAGTAAAAGCAGCAGACGGGAAACAATAGAGTAACAATAACCAGTTAGAAAGAGGTGCAAGTATCATTGACATGACAAGGTGGCCGAGTTAAAAGGTCACTTCTTTCATTATTGCTGTTCAAATGCTTGCGAATACAGAATATTCTTGTTTTAGATATGAATCTAGGCTACCGTGCATGTATTATTAACCATCCATGTGTTTATTGTCCTCTTAGGGTTGGTAATACAGGGGTTCCAGGTGTTTGGCTTTTCCACACTGGGAATCGTTATTCCTTCGGTAACATCGTTCCTGCTTCCATCAGTGGTCTTGTAACCCCATCTCCTCGAGAACATAGCCTCTCGCCGGTGATTTCTTTACTTCATTTCTTTCGTCTGTTCGACTTTTATCTGCTGATTTTTTTGGGGCAGATGGCATGATTAACTTTTGCTCCCCCTATTACTTCCTGGCTTCCCTTCAGGACACCACCACGCCCGAGTACGCCGACCCGGAGGAATATCCAGAAAATATCTTCGACCCTGAGCCCGGGGAGGAGGATGACTACTCCCAACCGAGCACTAACCCAGACTTCCAGCCGGCACCTGGTGGTCGTGACCCGCCGTCTCCTTCTGCGGAGGACTCCGGGCGTCCGGTGTTGTATGGGAACATAGATGGGCTGTTGACCTCAGAGTCCAGGTACCGGTCCGAACCGGAGGAGAATCATTACGCGGTGCCGAATCTTCCTCCCACGGTTTTGGAGAGGGGTGCTCAGCAGGAGCAGGAGCCCCAGGTAACAGCTCAACACAACTGAATAAGAAATTATGTAAACGAGAAAATATTTTATTTCAGTTATTTAAATCTCTATTCTAAAACTGGCAGTTTTGATACTTTTTTACAGCCCTCAGTCACTTACTTTGATTTAGAATTATGATGAAAATCAAGATTATGATACAGCCGTCTAGATCAAGATGGGTATTGCATATTTCCAATCTATTGCCCCCTGTAGCGTCCTCAAGAGGTGGTGGATTTATACCCCATTCATGGAAATGAACCACCTCTCTCTCCTGGACGCCATGTCGTCACAGTGGATGAAGATGATGTTGATTTCGACACGGGAGGTAAGAATCAGGCCGCTTTTAAAACATTATATTACCACAAAAAAAAAAAAATCCAAATTACAGCTACAAAAACTTTTTTTAAACCATTTGTTAAAAAAAAGAAAGGATGGCTGGGGCCGGTGCTCCAAATGGCCTCTTATTCTTCAAATGTTGTCATTGATCTCACATGATGACATGTAGCTGGGCAGCTACTTTTTCAACAGGCATGTCCACCAACTAATTTGTCATAAGTGGGTCAAATTGCAACGTAATTGCAACCCCTTGGAGAAACAGCACCTAGACTAGGTGCTGAATAGGGTAGATTCAAAGAAGACGCACCGGACGCAATGTGACATCAGCCCATGGGAAAGTAAGGAAAGTAGTGATGGAAGGCAAGCCCTGGGGATTTGGTTTGTCGGCAACGGCCCCACACTAAAAGGTAGTGAAACGGGGAGTAGAAGAACGTTTCTGTTGCCTACCTCCAGATTTCTTCATTTTGACTGACAGTTATTATTACTGGGGCAACAGATCTGTCTTCTAGTTTTTACCTGTGAACCTGTTAAAGGTAACAACAAAATAAGCAACTAAATAAAAAAAGCCCCTGATTATGGTTTCTGTTTTTTACAGATTAATATACACACTGATCTGTTGATGGATATAGGTACTTATGAGAGAATGAGAGTAGAAAATACTAAGGCTGGCAGTAGTAGGGGAACACCGCTTGTCCACTCTGAGGGCCGAGCTGCTCAGCAGCTGGCAGTACAATACTGCCGTTGTGCTGGGCAGTTCCCAGGTGTGAGTGTGTCAGTGTGTGTTTGGCGTTCCCTCCCCTGCAACTATACTCCCACAGGAGTTTTGCCGTAAATAAGAATGTGCTCTCAGTCAACTCGCGCGGTTACATAAGGGTCAAGAAGTCTTGTGTGCAAAAAGAATTAGCTCATTTCGGGGGACTAATCAGGATTTTCCGAAAGTACACAGAGATCTCTCCACGAGCGTGTTTGTGTTTCATTAATCAGATCGCCGTAAGAAAAACACAATGTTATTATTTTGGGCTTTTTTTCCTTTCGTGAATCACAGAGTGGGGTAATAAGTATTAGATGGGAGTAAGAGCAGTGGTGGACATCGGACCTCTGACTCGCTTTGAGTCAAACTGGGAACTTGGAGCTTCTTTTTTTTTTCAAAAAAATTTCTTTGGACTTCACATATATTGAAACCACCCTTCATGCCATAAGAAAGCACCCCCTGAATTCCAACACTTTTCGTCAGAGTGCATTCGCAAAAGTACAAATAAGATAATGAAGAGAGAACGAGACACAAATACACAGAGAGGAGACTCGAAGCAGTTAATTGGAAGTTATTTGAGACCGGAGTGGTGTTTACGGTCTATAAATTCACAACATGTGAGGTCTCAGCTTTGAATTTACTCAAACTTCTAACAAGTTGGAGCACTCAATAATGGATATCACCTTTAAGTTGGCTGCAATTTGTAGAAATAGAGTTTAATCCCTATCCTTTACAAGATTCACAGCGGTAACTCTCAGTTTTCAGGCTATCTGCCTAATTTCAGGATCACTTCCTGTTTGTCTGAGGATTTTTAAGTAATGAAGACATTCCAGCTGGTCCTCACATCCTCAAAGGACTCTTTCAGGGTTAAAACTGGACTGTGAGGATATCAGTGAGATTCAGGACCAAAATTACCATTGCTACCTTAGTAGGGAAACCTGAATACCCATTTTTCATCATGAACAAAGTGCTGATCAAGTGGTTTGGGAGAAATGTAGCTGCTGGTTTGTTTCCAAATAGAGTGTCGACAGATGTTTGGTTGTATCTACTCTACATATTTCCATTCACGGTTGATTAAAATCCGAAAACATGACATTCAAGCAAATCCAGACATTACTGCATAGCCAAGTTGTTAAAGACGATTTGTTGCAATAGAGACCCTTTGGAATCTAGGGGCATATTTATTAAAAACACAAAACCAAATGAAGCAACCGCTGAATGCAGCAAAAAAGAAAAGGCTGTGGATGGCTTTTCTCACCCGTCCTCAATGCTGAGCCTTGGTTTAAGGCAAAAATAACTGGTTAAAACAGGAGGACAAAAAACAAAAATCATTTATTTTCTTCTGGAATGAGCAGTTCACTTGTTTATTTCCACTTCGCCATATCTGGGTTTAAGTTGACTAAATTCCTTTGTTATAAATGTCGCTTTACATGGAGGAAAAAAGATGCACATTGTTTCACGTTTGCATGTAGTTTTTCTGCCTCTGGATGCTGAACAGTTTTTTTTGTTGTTGTTTTTGTGCAAGTAATTATCTTTTAACTTTGTCCTCATGTTTTCTAACTCTCTCTCTCTCTCTTTCAGTGATTCAGTACACAACTGAGAATAAGGAAACTTGTGCCAGGTATGTGAAATATCTGCTCCATTTGTGTTTTTATGTCATCCTTCACACTCTTTCTCTTGACTGCAACTGCTGGTTACAAAACCAATCCTGGCAGTTTATTGAGCTTCACAAGAACGGAGCATATTTATATCTGGAGCGACAAAATCCTCCTCTTTACTTTCTGTTTTTGTAGATCCCAGCACCAGTGTTCCCAGAATGCATTTTGCACGGACTACGCCACAGGGTTTTGCTGTCACTGCGGCCCCGGCTTCTACGGAAACGGCCGCCACTGCCTACCCGAGGGTTAGAGCCCGGCCTTCCGAGACGCTCGTTTAGTTCAGCTGCTTTGTACGTTAGCGCTCACGTCCTGGCTGTCCTGTCCCTGTTCTGAACCGACAGGGGCCCCGCAACGCGTCAGCGGGAAGTTCAGCGGGACGGTGTCGGTGGGGTCCACCCCCGTGGAGCTCAGCGACATCCACCTTCACTCCTACATCGTGGTGGGAGACGGGAGAGCCTACACCGCCATCAGCAAGGTAGCAGATCCAAAAGACGCCGCAAAGCTACCTCATACGCACGTTTTCTTTTTTCTCCGAAATGAATGAAAAGATGTGACCGACGCGTCACGTGACTAGAACTGACCTTTCTGAACTTTGGGCTGTCGGTCAGGTGCCGGAATCAGTGGGCTGGGCCCTCATGCCACTCGCGCCAATAGGAGAGCTGTTTGGATGGCTTTTCGCCCTGGAGCTGCCCAACAGCCAAGCGGGATTCAAAATCGCAGGTGAGCAAGTTTGTGTCACGCGTCGGCCGGTATCAAATCCTGAATTTTGAGCGCATCTGCGGAGGGTATGAAGGGAACCCTTCTCAAGCCAGGATACTCCATGTCTCTTTTTGCGAGTGTTTTCAGTCACCCAGCCAGCTGTACCGTCTCCGGGGACGGGATGTGATATCAGGCTTCCACCTCCCTGTTCTAATAGGAAACAGCTGCGTGTGTGTGTGTGTGTGTGTGTGTGTGTGTGTGTGTGTGTGTAACCAGCTAGGAGACTCCACATTTTTCAGAATGCAACCCATGCAACATTATACGCCGCACAAACAGGCAAACTTTGTTTTTAGGTGCCGAGTTCGTGCGCCGCGCCGAGGTGCAGTTTTACCCCGGCAACCAGCGCCTGTCCATCACACAGACGGGCCGCGGCCTGGACGAACACAACCACCTCAATGTGGACACTGTGGTCAGTGGCAACGTGCCGCCTTTGCCGCCTGGAGCTGAAGTCACCATGGAGCCCTTCAAGGAGACCTACCAGTACTACCCCTCCGGTAACCACGATAACTACCACACAGGACTCGAGGTGCATACAGCGCATACCACTCAGGGCTTCCTCTCACCTTAAATACGTCTCTCCCTCCCTCTTCTTCGGCAGTCACAACCTCCATTTCGGTCAGGGAGTTTTCCGTCGTCTCAAAAGAACGAGGCACGGAGTCCTACTCTTTCCATCTCAAGCAGAACATCACCTACCGCGACTGTCGGCACGACAACAGAGGCGCCAAGCCGGAGACGTTGCAGATCATCATGGAGAGGGTGTTTGCGATGTACATCACCGAGGAGCGGATGCTGACGTACGCCCTCACCAACAAGATCAGTCCACTCGGAGGTTGGTATCGGGGGTGGATTGCGCTTGAAAAGTTCTTAGAATGTAAAGATTGCGCAGTCACATTAAGTGGCGAGTGGTAAGGGTGCCATTGTTGGTTATAAGTATTGTACCCACCAAAGACTGATCCTTTGGTAAAACTAATTCCTGATGCAAAATTGCAAAGAAATGAAGTATTTAAACATTAGCAGGCCAGAACATTGAAAGGATTTAGGGAGTGTGTGGAAATCTTAATGAGTAAAGGCAAATAGCTGAAACCGCTGCTGGAGACCACTCACAGGCACAACATGCGAAACAGTTACACAATAACAATCCATAAAGCCATATGGGGTCAGGAGTACTTTGGAAAACTATTTTAGCTCAACGAAGTCAGCTGTCGCATCCAGAAACGTAATCTGAAACTGTGTTACACAATAGGGCAACCAAATATCCTCTGTACACAGACAATGGTAAGTTCTCTGGACATGAGCTCATCTTCAGCTGCTTAAGTCTAATTCATGCCAAAGATGATGAGGACCATGCAGGTTGTTATCAGACAGAGGTGCAAAAGGCACTCTCTGGGTTTACAGATGTTGACCATTGTCAATGGTATAGTTGACTTATACAGGCGCAAAGCTAGCGTTGGTGCAGATTAGTGTATGATGTAATACGTCACACACATATGCTTCTTTTCCCTTCAGGTGTGTGGTTATGTCAGCAGTTTGTAAAATTTAATTGTGTTGGGAAAAAATAATAAATGAGTTACTTAGTATTTTCCTTGTGAAGTTTAAATGAACCATAATGGTGCTGTTTCTGAGACTCACCACCCCAACCCCACACCCCCTGGACAGTTAAGCTATGATGAAAGAAAGAGGAGTAAACCCATTATGCCCCTGAGTGGCAATTTGTCCATTAAAAACATGTACAACAGAGAGAAGAAAAAAAAAAGACATGAAAACAAAGGACCGCATCGTAAATGTAATGGTCCAGGACATGGTGCATATTAAGAACATGTGAACTTTCTTTTTTTTTTTAAACTGAATATGGGAAAAGTATGATCGCCTACAGCATAGGCGCCATAACGCACCCTTTAGCCCTTTAGCACTGATCCGTTGACCGTAACCTTCATCATGTGGCCATTTAAAGGCAAACATTGTAGCTGTCTGAGAGATTCAGCTAATTCCAGCAATTGTTACAGTTCAGCCTCAGAAAAATCGCAGCCAAAACACGGAACGGTGATGGACGGAGCTCAAATTTACGCACGCACACACACACCACAAGCACTGAAAGTGGGCAGTCGTAGGAAGAAACTGGAGACAGCAATGTTCAAATGCCTGCACTAACAGCTCTGCTGCTAGGTTTACTATCTTGCAGAGAGTGCAGGGTCCTGAATGTTATTGCAACCCCTTAATTTACATTACCTACTTAGTTTCTCCATGTACGCTATTGGATGTATGCCCTTGAGTCTGGGCTTAATTTAATGTGGGGAGTCAGCCAAACAGTCCCATGTAAAAGCCAGCAATGTTTAGGAACAATTCACTTTCAAGCCAACATTATCTTAGACTGGCTGAGTTCTCTTCAGTTAACATTTAGATATCATGTGTTTCCCCAGTGTGAAACATGTGCGCTCAGGTTACTTCTTCTACAATAGCTCTAGAAGAGGGTGGGAAGAAAAGCCTTTTTCTTCTTTTTTTTTTCTTTTGCTCATGTGCTTACTGGCACAAAGAAGGTATTTTGCTAAATTCCATCAGGTTTCCTAAGAATTTAGATCAGGTTAGGGTAAGTTTATCTAAGGTGCACCATCGAACTCCCAACGAATCAGATCTCCTAACTTGCATCAAAGTTAGCAGCTTTCTCAGCTTCCTTGAATTAAACTTAGAGGTGGTTTAGAGGGAAGAATCTAAACACAACCTCACCTATCATGACTAATAATGTTCCATTTAAATGGTCTTGATAATGAGAAAACGCTTACATTATAACATGAGAATATTGTTACCGTTTGGCCATGTGTGCATGCATAGCTACCTTTTGTACAGCACTAACGGTAAGCTTTCTCCTCCAGCTAAAGGTTAGATTTAGATGTGTTAGGGTTTTGGAGTGTGTGCATGGCGGGCACGGTGCCGTATCCTTTACAGCTTATGTTTTCATGGCTGTTAAATCTTTATTGCACCCAGGTGAATGGTAAATCAACATCCTTGACCTTAACATCTGAGGCTTTTTTTTTTTTTATGGGTCCCAGTTAATGCTAGTAGTGCACGGGAGGAGGCGTAAAGCGTTAAAGCCGATTCTGTCTCATCTGATCCGAACTTTCTCTCATTCGTTTTAAATGTATCTATTTCTACTTAATCTGAACTCTTCCTCATTTAAGGTTAGTCCACAGATGTGGAAATTCTAGACCGAAAGGGAAGACCTTCAAGTGACAAAAGGAAGGAAATAGAAGAAGACCTGCAAGTGGAGAAGAAAGAGTTTGGGACAGACAGCCTGAGAGAAACTTTTTTTTTCTTCCCTCCCCCAACGGCGTTTGGATTCAGACCAAGTTTCTGTCGTTTAAATGTCAACACGCTGATTAAAAAGGTTGTGATGACATATCTCACACATGCACATGCTCACTCACAGCGATACACCCAGAACACAGCTGGAAGAGCTTTTTGGGGTTCGGGGTTTTTTTTGTAAACATGGATTAAGTGGTGTGTGTGTGTCTGTCAGAGAGAGCACACGTGTGTTTGTGTGTGTTCAAAGGCCTTATACTTTCTGGGAAATAATATCCTTGCCAATGACAGATTTTCTTGCGGAGGGGGGTCGCCGGTCAGAAAATATCTGCCCCGTGAGGTCATAAGAATCAGAGATTGCAGTCAGGCTTAAGACACTAAAGTGATTGAACATTTATAGAACAAACACAAGATGAGGTTATTTTACCAGAGTGTTTGTTTGCCGTATCCCCCTTTAGGGGCAGATTTACTAAGAAGGGCAAATCGGCAAGTGGTTGGAAATCACAGACGGAGCCACAAGTGACCTCCTCATACGGCGTGGATATACAACCCCAGGCCCAACAAGCTCTAATCCTCAGGGATCAAAGATGCCTACTAAGAGCAGTGCAAACTTACCTAGACCTACTGATAACCAGGAATATGTAGTTCACTCACAACAAAGGTGCACAGGTTAATTCTTTATTACCTCTCAGGACTAATAAGGAAGCATCAGTCCATGAGTGTAAAGACCTTTCAGTGTAGAAAATGGAGGCATGTGAATAAAACTCCACCCTGTGTCCTCAGTATGGGCCAGTGAAAATACTGGATCCAACAAATACCAGAATGCATCAGGACAAAGTGTAATGACATCACAGGGTTAATTTTTCCTACTTTAAAAGGAAAACTATACATGAACTGTTTTCCTTTTCTTATTCAAACCTAATCTATGTAGCAAACTGAGCATTTGGGTCTTTATCATTACCACATTTCCGAGTCCTGTTTTGGCACGCATCACCCACGTTAGTCTGCTTTCACTGCTTTAGGCAACACAGTCTTAAATTTCAGCTCGTTTTTGTTTTTTTCGTATTTTTTTTTTTTTCTGACGTTTTGGTAAAAGTCAGCGATGAGAGAAAGATAATTTTACATGCCGACATGGTGGGTCATTACGTTTCGAAAGAGCACCCTCAGCTACTCCCCCGAAAAACTGTTTGTGTCTGTGTGTACAGAAGAGTTGTGTAAAAAGGCAACAGGTGGGAAACGGCACTCAGCACTTTGATGGCGATCAGCATGTGTGTGGGATGTGCATTCGTCACCCCTCTCTCCTGCTGGCCGTCTCTCTCAGTCCCTGCCTCTAATTATCCCCCAGCCCTTTTTCTCCAGTCCATTTGTATCTCGCCCTCTCATCTGCCCGTCTTCCTGGCTACATTGGACTTTGAAGAGTCTCTCTCTCTCTCTCTTTCTTTCTCTGATAATGAGCTCAAATTGCTCTTTGGCCTCAGGAGATGGAGGCAAGCTGCGTCCGTGTGTGTTTTGTTTATGTTAAGAATGCTTTAAATGTTGGTTGCTCGTGGTTGGACGATTCCCCCCGACGTTAAAGGAGACTTAACGCGTGATCAAAAACAGACACTGTGATTGGGAAGCTGTTTGCGGTCGACTTTTTCATGTTCGTCTTGTTCAGAGATTATGACCAAAGACACCCCAAGACCCTTTTAGCCAGCTGGTATGTGTAAAACTTGTGGATGAGGGCAAGCATGTTTAAGGAACCACACAGTTACATAGACGGTTTGACAAAGTGACACATAAAGAAAAGACTCTTTTTCTTTTTATGTGTGATAAGATTGATACCACAATCCTCTGAAGATGAATAAGACTTGAAAGAACAATAAATCACAGCAGACAGAGTTGTAGATGAGCCCTCTGGCATTGCAATGACTTTTCATTTGAATCTAAACATTACCCATCTTTTTTTCTTTAATTCTCAGCAGATTTTTCTATTTTTGCATTCTTTTTTGTGCATTCTTGTGTAATGATTTCCCATGGCGTTCTTCTTTTTTTCTTTTTTTCCCCCGTTCCTTTGGAAATTAGTCAGCGGTTTGTTTTCCAAATATTTTTGTCTAAGCCAGTCAGCGGCATTAGGAAACCCCGCGCTCCCTCTCATGTAGATGCGTGTCTAACCTCGTCCATGTGTTGTGAATATTGAGAACATGAAGGAAATCACTTCATAGGAAACAGTCTTGTGGGAATTTGTCTGGAGTGACTTGACATGTGTGGTTGGTTTAATTTCCTTTAATCATTTGCTCCAATCATTGGACTCTCTTCGAGGATTAAGCCAGGCCTCAATCTCAATCCGGAACTTTTTGACTGTCGCAAAATCTCTGATCTTGTCCTGCAAAAAACAAATGGACCAGTTATTCTATGTCGCTGAGTTTGTTTAGGATTAGATCTATTGATATTTGTTCATTTTTGGTTTCTTAATTTGTTTTTTACCTTTATTAAAGACCCTTTTACAGGAAGTCAATTTAAGCCACTGTGTAAATCACTGTGTGACACTAAACAACCTCCATACCCCTAAATAAAATGACTAAATTGATAGAATCTGCATAGATAATGAAGACCAACTCTCACGGAATTATCTTTTCCAGGCAGTGTTTAGTGTAACATTCAAATCTGTGATTCCTTGTGGCCATTGATGGCGTCTTTTGTCTTATCTTTCCAGTTGAGCCATCTGAGCCGGAGGAGGTCAACCCGTGCTACACTGGGAACCATGACTGTGACACCACTGCAAAGTGTATCCCTCTGGAGGGGCAGGCCTTTCGATGTCAGTGTGCCACTGGTTACGAAGGAGATGGACACAACTGTTACGGTAGGATCTTCCGTCTATCTGACTTATATACAGTGTGCACGCTTGTCCATTTTAAATATAACAGTGTTTCACAGTGCCTCCCCTCCTTTGCTCGGTCTTACGATGTCTCTTTTTACACATAACACACACACACACACGTTGAGAAGGAGAAAGTTCAAGGCTATGGGTCTGTGTTTCGTCAACATCTGTCCATCTTGAGAAGGGGGGTTCAAGTACAGATTGCACAAATGAAACCAGGGGTCCTGTCATCCTCCTCCCCCTTCTTCTCTAGGTAGGTTTCCTTGTTAATAAGGACTTCCAGGACTTTAAGCTGCTGGGTAGGCTATCATTAGGCCAGCAGTTGGTCTTTCTCTCATGCTGACAGCACCAGGAGAGCCCCGGGCTCGGCCTCTTTTCCCAAGGAGAAGGCCTTGGTTTCTCTCTTAGCTAAAATACGGCCCCGCTCTTCTTTTGTCCTCCGTTTTGCACGGTTCATTTTCGCAGCCAAAACTCCAGGTGTGCGTGGAGGGGGCAGATATACGTGTTAGAGTAGCACAGAGGTGCATGCCCATGCTGCGTATGCCGCCGAAAGCACCAGTAATGACCCTAATTACAGCTTTTAATCTCGCACATGTGGCTGTGCGTTTGCAGACAAGGGAATCCTTTTTCCTCCTGACTCGTGAGTTTATGGTGGGACTGTCTCATTTTTCTCTCTCCCCCGACGCAGACGTGGATGAGTGCGCTGAGGGTCGGAGCACATGCGGGGATCATTCTCAGTGCGTGAACCTCCCTGGCAGCCACCGCTGCCTCTGCCAAAGAGGCTTTGAGTTTGCCTACGATGGGCGCACGTGTGTCGGTGAGTTTCAGAGGAATCGTCCACATGAATTGAGTTTTTTTTGTTCTGTACAGATATTTTTGATATTTTTTATTTAAGTCGACTATTGGAAAAAAACACTTATTTGCCCTATTTGCCCAGGTATGAGGTTTCCTTCACAACAGTTACGCAAAGATGTAAAGCTGTAAAGCTACAAACAGGCAATGAGGAGGGATGATAAATGAGAGAGGGAGACTAATGTGAGAACAAGAGGGCAAGATAAGACAGGACAGGGAATAAAGAGACAAATGGGGCTATGGCACAATGTGTTTGTTGCTTCGGAATGTGTGGAGGAGCAAGGTCCCGTGTATTAATGTGTGTATACTCCTCCCACCCATCAACATGAACTTCAAATGAACTTCCTCTGAACCCTGTCTACCCCCGCTTTTGACAAATAACTTAAAGTGATACTTTACATTATACTGACACTGATTTACAACTATAAGAATGTCCCTGAAGTAAATTATGCCAAGTTAATGAAGCTTCCAAATAGAAGTTTAAGTACGAATGCTTATGTTTGGTCCAGAGCTCTGATGTATTTCTCTCCGTCTTTGATTAGATATAGATGAGTGCACCTCCTCCCCATGTAACATCAATGCCAGATGTCTCAATGAACAGGGATCCTTCCAGTGTCAGTGCCAGCCTGGCTTTTATGGAGATGGCTTCTACTGTACCCAGCAGGATGGTAGGTGAAATTGTTTCTGGTGAGCTAGAGGAATCGACTTTCTTCTCATAATTAACATTGTTTGGGAGGTTTCAGCAACCAGTCTAAATCAGCAGGCCTGTGGAGATAATTAAGCCTTCTTTTACAGTTCACATCTCGCTTGATACCAGTTTTCCATTGCTAGAAGTGACAAAAATGCTGATATGGTTGCTAGCAATAACTAACAAATTAGCCAGTTGGTGCAGAATCGACCAACTGGCTTGTACCTGTCCTCTTTGGTAAGCCATAAAAAACTAAACTGAAGGATATCAGCACCACATCGGTGTGCTTAAGAGGAACATCAGCTTCAACTGTACGCACTGCTTTTTGAACGAAACAGAGTACACGGGCAAAAAGGTTGATTCTGAAGAGCTGAGCCATCATTATGCAATGACAAAATGTCTGGTGTAAAGATTTCGGACCATTTCCAACACAACAGAGGTCTGTGTCCGGAGACAGTGCTGTCGTTGGACCAGCGTCCAAGGCACCGATTTTATTTTGTAGTGTAAATGTGCTTATTGATACCTGTTTTTGTACAGAACACACAATTCGTCCGAAGAGCCAGTGTGAGAGGCATAGGGACATTTTACAGAGCGGAGAAGTTCAAGGACGTCCGAATCTGGGAGCCTTCATCCCACAATGCGACTCCAGTGGACATTATCGACCACTGCAGGTGGGCACTGGTTGACAGTCCAGGAAAGCGCATGTTTTGCCCATAAATTCAGTCTGATTTTGAGGATTAACGGCTTATTGCAGTGTCATGGCTCCACTGGACATTGTTGGTGTGTGGACAGTGATGGGCAGGAGAGAGTGGGAACCAGGACTCCACCCGGCACTCCACCCAAAGACTGTGACATAGCCGGTACACTTCCTTATCTTGACAGCATCCTTAATGTCAGAAGTATACCGAGCGGCTAGTGAAAACCTGGTGTCAATCTATCTTCTTAGATGAGCCGGAACGTCCTAGGACTCAGTGTGAGCACCACAGAGACAGCATCCAAACCAGTACAGATACACTTTCTCTGGGCGCCTATGTCCCCCAGTGCGACTCAGAGGGAAAATACATGCCACTCCAGGTCAGCACCCGACAAGGAATCCACTCACAGAAACCCAGGAGAACCCATTGATTTTGAAAGTCATGGTGATTCATGTTTTGTTCTTCAGTGCCATGGCTCCTCTGGACACTGTTGGTGCGTGGACAGCAGAGGACAAGAAAGACCAGGAACCAGGACATCGCCTGGGGCGCTGCCCAAAGACTGCGACAACCCAGGTGGGTCTGACAAGTACACACAAATGGAAGGATTATGTAGATCTTTAGGCTCTCCGGGCTTTCCATACTCTCAGCAGGTGTATTATGTCATGGCTCTCCAAGGCTTTCTTGTTAAACATTGACCCGTGAACCCCTAATTCCTCAACTCACTGACAAGTCAAACAGACAGCATGTTTATGTGAGTGTGTGTCTAAGCCTGTGAGCCGTGCGCTATTGAGGTCATTGGGTCATGGTTTCGGAATGCCTGGAAAAAAAGCAGGTGGGTAGGATGGAAAATGAATGAAACACAGCCAGGGCATTTCGATGTCTTTGAGGCTGTAAGTTTGTTAGATGGTTATTAAAACTGTCCCTGTTTCCGCACCCAGCTGAGAGGAATTATCTGTGCTAAAATTGCTGCTCGTGCCTCAGAGACTTACACCATACAGCAGTTACTGACCAGAAATAATCCTCATGATTAGTAGTTTCTGAGCCACAGTGTGCGTCGCAGGGCAACAGAAAGCAAAACAGAGAGAAGTTTAAAGACATGTGCCCGTATTGTAGTATGACGTTACTACATTTCTTTGATTTTTCAAGTCATCAAAACACATTTTGACCCTTTAGATGAACCACAGCGTCCTAAAACCAACTGTGAGCACCACAGAGACAGCGTACAGGCCTCTGGTCAATCTCTTGGAGCCTACGAACCACAGTGTGACGAGAACGGACAGTACCTACAACGGCAGGTAGGCCCCTCTCGAGACCCTTAACATGACTCTACTATCGCTGTGACTGCACCTACATGACGTTTCATAACTTTGCTAGTGCCACAGCTCCTCTGGATACTGTTGGTGCGTGGACAGCAGTGGGCAGGAAAAACTAGGAACCAGAACTGCAGCTGGTACTCCGTCTGTGGACTGTGAGAGAGCGTGTGAGTGCCCTCTTGCTCTAAATTCATTTGCTTCAAGCTTTTGAACATTTTTACCCTCCAGTTTCTGGATCTCTGAACAGATTGCTCACAATATCTTTTCACAATATCTCACAAAAGCACAGAATGTCACGGTTTCTTGATTAACTGTAAATGCGTGACCCACTGTGCTCAGATGAACCGCAGCCTCCGAAGACCCACTGTGAGCACCACAGAGACAGCGCCCAGGCCTCCGGTGCTTCACCTGGAGCCTATGTACCACAGTGTGACGAGAACGGACAGTACCTACAACGGCAGGTCAGCATCCGTTCATGAACTTATTTTCACCCAAATTGATCGCGCTTTCATTTCCCCGTGTGATCTTTTGTGCCTGTTTTAGTGCCACGGCTCCACCGGACATTGTTGGTGTGTGGACACGAGTGGACAGGAGAGACCAGGAACCAGGACTGCACCTGGCACACCATCCATAGACTGCTACAGAGAAGGTGAGGGCCCCAAATCAGTCAGGATGTATATGTATCCAAAGACTGAGTGTCAGCCGAGTCAAAACGAAATAGATGCATTTATTTGTAGGCATGGAAATCATCTACACAAACTCTAAACATCTCATGTTTTAGGAGTTACACACCCTAACCCTAACCTTTGGAATTTTTACATTAGCTAGTATATCATATGGTAAAAATGATGTCGTTACCCAGATGAACCGCAGCGTCCGAAGACCCACTGTGAGCACCACAGAGAC